CAGCAGGGGGCGGTACTGCGCAGACTCAGTAGCTCCAGCAGGGGGCGTCTGAGTGCACGTGAAGCGTTAAATCGCGGACATTTCTGAGAAGAAGCGGAGGTTCTTCCTGTGTCCTTGTGCCAGAAGCGCGTTGACAGAAGGCTCCTTCAAGATGTTTAGACACGTGATTGTGAGTTAAACTGGAAGCTTATTTGCAGTCTAACGTAAATATCTGTGCTGTTTGATTGATGAACTGTTGATGAACTGTTTGAGACCAGCAGCCTCCGTGAACCGCGGGCTGTTAGCTTCACGGCTAGCCGGGGTCATGGTGCTTCCGGTCGGCTTGCTGCAGTGTCTGCTCGGCCTCCTGCCGTCCGGCCTTCAGCTGCTGGAGCTTTTGTTCTCAACGTGCTGCTGCGGCTCGTTTCATCAGTTTAAGTGTCTTGAGGGGACTTTCTGCTGGTTTTCTGTTTCCAGGGGGTCCAGCAGGTGGCGCGGCGAAGCATCAGCGGCTCCGTCCGGCGGCAGATACAGAACAAAGTCCCGGAGAAACAGAAGCTGTTCCAGGTAAACACACTGCGACTCACCTGGAGGCTCCACCCCGTCTGCACGGCCTCTGACGTCAGAACACTGTCCTCTGACGTCAGAACACTGTCCTCTGATGTCAGAACACTGTCCTCTAGTGTCGGGACCCTGTCCTCTGATGTCAGAACACTGTCCTGTTCTCTAGCGTCAGGACCCTGTCCTCGTTCTGACTGTTGGAGACAGATGTCCTAAGGAAGTGTCTTTGCTGATGTTTGTCTCTGAGGCTTGGTTCAGGTCCTTTCCTCCTCCTCTCACTTTAGTTTGTGTCTTCGGCTGTTCTTCGGCTGTTCTTCGGCTGCAGCTTTAAAACCCAAACTGATTCTAATGATTAAAAACTGGAGACAACAGATGGACTCGGGGACGTGGGACAGTTGTCCAGCCGAGGTCGTTCCTCAGACTCATCCGGACCTTCAGAACTTTTTATTCCTTCTTTAAAACTTGTCCGTCGGGTTCTTCCCGCTCTGTGGGCCCACAGGGTCCATGACAAACGGGTCAGAACCGCTTTGTTTCAAGGATCCAATCTGAACCTTGTTGTTTGTGCAGGAAGACAACGGACTCCCGGTCCACCTGAAGGGAGGCAGCGCTGACGCGCTGCTCTACAGGTTCACCATGGTCCTCACCGTCGCAGGTCAGAACCTCGTCAGAACCCGTCTGTTCCGATCCAGCCGGCGGACCTTGTAATGACCTTTGACCTCTTGTGTCCTCAGGAGCCTGCTACACTGTGTACGAGCTGGGGAAGGCGGCGTTCCCTCAGAGGAAGTAGCTCCGCCCACCTGTTTACCTCCACCTGCCCTAACGGACCAGTCGCTCCAGTTTGTGTAAAAATAATTCTGTTTCCTGTTCATGGAGCGCCATCTTGTTTCCTTCTGCACCGACCCGCGGATCAATAAACGGAAAATATACCTCTGACGACCAAAACCCGTGTGAGGCTCTTGTTCTGCTGAGTCAGCGTTGGCTTCCTGTTTTTAGACTGTCAGCTGGACTTCAGCTGTTTTATAGTCTCTGTTTATGTGTGTATAGTTGAAGCTGCAGCTTAATTTTTAGCTTTCAGCTACAGGTTAGCTCAGTTTTAACTGCTTTCAGCTACAGGTTAGCTCAGTTTTAGCTGCTTTCAGCTACA